TGCAGAAGCCAGTACTTTTCCCTTGTCTTGTCTATCTGAAGGCCAAGCTACATGGCACCGTGGCAGCTGCTGATTGGAGGTCTCCATGACTCCGCTCTGTATAATACACTTGCATTCTGTTGTATCTGTGTTCGTGTGCTTTGTTCGTGCTGTCTCTACCATCGACAATAAAACATGTCTTCTGTCTGAATTAAAGACGCGATCCCAGACTATGTCATCCTCTTCAATAGGAACCCACATATCTGAGGACTCCTGGACCATCATCACCTCCAGCCTCGTCAAGAAGACCCACCAGCACATTTTGTTCTTTACGAAGAATCACATGTCGATTGCTAATTTTGCACAACAAGCATTTTAGCAAACGGCAATACTACAAAACTGGTATGAGAACTGTTCTGTGGCGAAGCGAGAATCACAACAGCGGATGGTGAAACAGCCCTGTGCATTATTAGAACTCAACTCACTGCCCTCAAGAACATCCACAAGCAGCGCTCTGTGTCGGGCTCGTAAAATTTTGAAGGACTCCTCTTATGCTGCAGACAGACTCTTCAGCCTTCTGCCCTCAGGCCGCTGCCACAAGTGCCCCCAGGCCAGAACCAGCAGACAAGAGATTGTTTTTATCCCAGAGCAGTCACACTCCCTGTTAAAACACATTATACCCACTTTAATGTAACATACTGTAATAGCAGCTTCTAACAGTTGCATATATACAGTATGTATCTATGTCATAAATATTATCTGATACTTGCGCAGGTTAGACGCAAAACAACATTTTATGGCACGCTTCCCGATAAATAAATTGCAATCCATTCTTGTTCCATCCCAAAACCATATAAGTAAACAAATATTTTTGTTGTTTTGAGTTTTTACTGCATGTTACAACAACCACAAAAACAGATTATCCCGGCCAGGCCCAGACAAGCTACTGTCCTGCACGAAACACTCATGGTATGTAGGACCCACCTTTCATCCATACACACAAACACACATAAACGCAGAAACGTGCACACACCACGGGCACACACACACACACACACACACAAGGGCCGCAGTTTCTTGTCCTGCTTGTCTTGTGCTTGTGGCAGCTTGCACACAGTCTTCACACATCTCTTCTGTCATGGAGGCACATGGGAGACATTCCAGCAGTTAATGAAGAGAGAGACCAAAAACCACATGCAATTATCTCTTTAGTGAAAATGACTGAAAACATTGAGACTACTGCAGTATATGGGTGTAATGCTAATCTAATTTTTAAATCTAAGTTTAATTTATGATTTGTTGTTAAATGCTACAAATTTCAACACATGTATCTGTTGAGAGATGTTAATTTACCATAAAATTGGGGAAGAAATTGCGTACAAATTATTAGGAATTATAAATGTCGGTGTTGATAAAACAGTAAAATTATAAAATGGTTTTGTCTGGGACGACAGTTAGCTTAGATTACTATCCCCTAGTTTGGAAAGTTTTCTGTTGGCTTCACTTGATCTTTATCTTTTTGTCAAACTGAGATCAAATATTGTAAGATAAGATAAGACAAGATATACTTTAGTGATCTCACACAGGAGAAATTTACAACATTTGTATCTGCAATCTAAACTATCTATCAATCAATTGGAAGAATAATTGAAAAATAATGTTAGTTACAGCATTGCTAACATTACTAACATTGTCCCTTGCCACTATAACATCTAAATTAGAATTATTCATGTTAAGTATTCATTACTTGATGGTTAAGTAACTGTGTATCCCAATAAGACCACTGCCATTTTTACACTAATTTACTAATGGTACTATTCCGAGCAACCCTTCTTACTTCCTGTATTCTAACACACTAAAACACATATATATTAATCACGCTTACGTAAAATCTTAATATATGTGAATTCTGTTGGATCATTCTGAACTATATTGATAAAGCTGTAATAATGTGTGAAGTAAATTGGCCTGGATGATTGAGAAGGAACTGTCCATCTCTGATAACGACATATTTCTGAACTCTATGTAGTTAACAACTGGCATACAAAGGCAGTAGAGGCCAGGATTGAAGTGAGTATTTGCGCAAACAAGAGACCAGGAGGACGGTTTAACTGAATCCCAAACATCATTTTCAGATTTCCATACAGCCCATGGCCTGGGGGTTTTCATAAACAAAAGACCTGTGTAATCCAAACACTGCATAAAGGCCCCGGGCCAATGACATGAAATAAGACTAAGAAGTGTGTGATTGTAGAGTTTTGGATACATTTAAGAAATACAAAACACTATACTATTTCCATTCTCAGTCTCCATTATCAGTCTTTTGACAGTCTAGGGCCAATTGGTTGTGTTTCAATGGAGGAAATGTGCCACTAGAACTACAAGGGAAACCCATTTTGAAAGCAAAAATATCCTTATATGTTCCCAGACTATTATTTGAAAGTGATTAGATTGAAAACTCAAAGCTCTTTATATCAGCCAACCTCATGCATGTTTTATGAAAAAAAAAAATCTTGACGACTTATGAGATAATACTTATACCCAAATTGATAGAGAAGATGCAGAACTTGTGGCAGTGTTTATTGCATGTGAATTGGCTCAGGGGAGACGGATAAATTTGCTCCAAAATAAGACCAGATTTTTTTACATTTTATTTTGCCAGGAAAGTTATTTCAACTACCTTCCATCTCAAGTTTAAAGTAGGCGCTCTTTGAATTCTGTGATGTCACATATTAGACAGGAAACATAATATTTAGAACATTGTTGAAAAGGATTTAGGCTGAAGTGAGATTATGTTCTCACTCAGCTCATCTAAGGTCAATTGAACCTCTTGGTGATCACTGATTGGCTCAGCCCCCACTTGAAGCGCTGTAAGTGCTGTTGCATTGAATAAGCCCCACACAAACACACACCCATTGTTTGCTTTAGCCAAGCGATCCCAAACACTAGGATCTCTTTTCACAATGCTCTCTTATTAACGGGACAATAGCATTGTGTTGACTAATGAGCAGGCTCCTCCCTGACCTCTGTCTGAAGTAGATTACCTGACAGCCACAGACAGACAGGAATCACTGAGGTCATCCATCTGTGCAGGATGTGTCTTCTTTCAGCTGAAGCAGGGTCAATAGAAACTAGAAAAGGGATTTTGCATATTTTGCTTTATACCAACCTGCGCTGCAGCTTTTGAGGCAGAAGCGGACTAAAGATTCGAGACTCACTTGTCTTAGTTGTAGTGATGTACCATAGATGTATCCTTATATTGCATATAGTAGATGCCAGGCAGTGTTTTTGTTATTCTAATCAAGGAGAGCATTTATGAAGCTATATCAGAGCTTGTATGCGCATTTATTGATTCAACAATAACGCATTATCACTTTATGAAGACACCTTTTGCAATTACAGGTGAGGAGGGACTGTGCCTCCCCTCTCAGCCAATCAGAGCTCGCCTTCCAATGGCTGCAGCCAATCAGCTCGTGCCTTGCTCCGCATTTATTTTACACTAAAAGAATTTCCTCGAATTTCTCCGTAAAGGTAGTTATTTAGCGCGAACGAAACAATGCCACGCACTAACATATGTGTGTCGTGAGCAAAGACTGTACATATTGTAAGGTATAGACTTTACAGAGACGGGAATCTGGGCAGGTAGGCGCAGAGGTTATTGGCTGCCCGGGACAAAAGGCCGTAGAGGAGGATTCACCTGGAGGAGGAGTGGAGGAGAGAGAGGGAGAGAAGCAGAAAACAGAGGGAAAGTGGCCGTACCTGTAGCCCAACTTCTACTGCTGCTGCTGCTGGAGTCTGCTCCGACCTGAAAGTCCAGTTTCTCCAGGAAGAACCGCGGAGGAAGCGAACTATGTCACAGGACGCAGACAAGTGAGTACTGGGCTATGGAGCAGCCAGGCGCACTCCGCATCACACTGTATACAGGCGAAGGAGGGGAAAAACACATTTATTAGACCTTTTCTCAGATTAGGATGATGGCAGAGATTAGAGATTACCACAGAACAGCCCGTGTCTATGGTAAATAATGCAGACTATTTGTAAAGGCTGTGGAGTTGTTGTTCTCGACGTGGAGTTTGTAAATAGTATCGCAATCTTTCGCCATTTCTGACGGATCACGGATCACGAAGTGCCGAGGACTGGACTATTATTTGGATTTTGTTATATGTTTTCAGTCCAAGATGATTTAACTTAATTTTTTGTATTATTAGACACGTGCTGTATTTCAAATCTTGTTTTTGTTTTGTGTTAATGTATAGCCTACTCTTTTTAGTCATTTTTGCGTGGTTTAATTCTTGTATTATAAAAAAAAGAATGGTCCAGTTTTTTTTTTAAAAGGCTGTTGTCTAGATATTTGGCATAAAAAAACAGGCGTATGTTGAATATGTAAAACAATAAACTGGCAAAGACAGTGTGTATTTGCTCTTTCGTTATTTAAATGTCAACGATTGGACCTGTTTATGCCATTTGTTAAACTGTAATTAGGATATACTGAAATCTCAAAGTCCATTTACTTCTGTAATTCAACCTACAATGTGAAACTAATACATGGAAGACTGAGAACATGTAAAATGAGACACATCAAGTTTTTGTTTGTCAGAATGTTGATAGTGATGTGTTGGTTCACAGCTGGTAAAAACCCAAATATAACATGAACATTATTATAATATTGGGCTTTAAATCATAATCCTCCAGTCATAACAACTTGTGTGTTATGAGTCTATATCATATGTTGGTTTTACATTGTAACTTGAACCACAAAAATAAATACACTTTTGAAGGTAGTTTTAACTTTCCGTTTAAGGTAGTTTAAGATTGCAGTAAGTTTAAAACCAGGCATAACCTGAAAGAACGATCTCTCATGGTCTGAATTATTAGCTCATCTTTTCATTCAAAGTGCAGAGCAGCAGGTGCCACTATTATGGCTCTTGGTGAACGGTGTTTTAGGCTTCTGCAGCGTAAACACAGTATCTGCCCATGGCAAAGGCATGGCCTGTTTTGTTTGCACCACACACCTGGATGAGTGACTTTACGATGTTTATATGTGAACTTTATGCAATATGTTTAATGTCAATATTATTCATCGACAAATGCCTTGGAATTCCATTTATGTATTCATTTATTTAGTTCTATTTTGAACTAGGGTAGTGTCAAATTGATTTAACACATAGATCTCTTCAGTTTAAGCAGTACTCTTATCACATTGTATTTGTAAATCCAGAGTACTGCAGAAACAATGTAACATTTCATAGGTTTTCTTGTGAAGGTGGTTAAACGTAAAGAGCTGTTTTGACAACACAGGATCTGATAAGTCTGTGATCTTCACTTAAAGTGTTGCAGGCACAAAATCTACTGCAAACACAGACGTGAGATGCAGTTACATGCTGAACAATGCAGGATTAGCCATCCTGAACTTTCCACACAAGTCCAACCACAGAAACACTTCAGATACAGTAGAAGAATAAATCAAGCATTTATTTAAATCAGAACAGCGCTGAAATAGGTCAAAACAGATATATACATGTAAACAAAGCCTAAATAAAATGGGGAGATTGCAGTAAGTTTAAAACCAGGCATAACCAACACCAAAGACTAAACCAGGCTTCAGCCGGACAAAAGTTAGTTAGTTAAACAACCTTTGCAGTGAGAAGGAGACCCACAGCTCTCAATCCAATCCAATCCAATCCACTTTATTTATAGCACATTTAATAAACGAGCAGTTCCCAAAGTGCTGTACGACAAGCAAAATAAAAATGGCAATAAATGAATAAATACACAAATATATAAAAATCAAATTCAAAAAAACACAGACGACCACACGACTCACACGGTGTTAAAAGCCAGAGAATAAAAGTGGGTCTTAAGACGAGACTTAAAACATTCCAACGAGGCAGCTCTGTCAGCCTGTACAATGAGGGATGCTGACCCTGCACATGCAACTCATCTGTAAATACTTAAATAATGTGAAATAAATGTAATGTTAAAAATGTTTTATCTATGTGTAGTCCCTAGGGTTACTTGCACCACTATGAAGCATTTGCAGCTTTTTATCATAGTCTCTATCAAGGGCATATTAGCAGAAGAATGACCAACTCTTATCAAAGTATTATAACCTCAAGATAATTGGTGCCACTAACTCTGTGTAAATCTAGTGTGTTTCTCACCTGACCGTCACTTCAATAGACTTTTGTGCATGTTTCCAGTAAGCGTCTGGTGGTGGTGGTCCCTAATGAGAGCTCCTTCCCATCCGTGCGTTACACCAGTGAGGACGAGGCATGGCGGTCCTACCTGGAGAACCCACTGACCGCTGCCACCAAAGCCATGATGACCATCACGGGGGACGAGGACAGCGCCAACGCACTCACTCTGCTCTACGACTACTACAAGGTCTGTCCTAAGCATAGACTGTAAATGTTAACGGACGTAGCGACGCCTATTTCCGCATTCAAAAGTCCACAGTGGCTAAACTAGGCTGGTCCAAAAAATAAAATACCCCCTCATTATTGACACGCATCTGGAAAGTACTATTGGACCAAGAGCTGACTTTTGGACCATCTTGTGAAGCCGTTTTCAAAAGGAAAGAATGCGGCATACCAAAGCATTGGGTAATTCTGATTCCGGGTACACACCCACCTTCAAGGAGTGATATTGCAAGCATGTCAGCGCACATGATTATGGACATTTTTGAGCCGGGTCCAAAGTCGTATTCAAAACGCAGTAGACACAGTTCCTTGCGTGTGAAATAAAGAAGGCTGTTGTCTTAAACTTGATTGTCATTTAGTTTAGAGATTAGAATGTTAGTGCTGTTCAAACTGCAACAAAATAAAACGCCCGACACCAGTGGCCTATGCCCCCAAAAGACCCCGAACAGGAGCAAATAACTTGTGACAGATGCTGTGTGCAACTTTTCTGAAGGAGGGTCCACTTTTTGGGTTGGAATAATAATTTTTCCTGAAATGTTCTGGGGTTTGGTATCCATCTACTTTTGCAGCGACAACTAATATTTGTACACATCGTAAAGCATTAACGTCTGCTTGACAACAAACTGACATTGAAAACTCATCAGAAAAGTATGCACCATGCACCTTCTTCGTTTTTATTATTATCATGTTCAAGATAGAGATTTTATACTTGTTATTAGATGCTATAGTTATTAAGAGTTCTTTTAGTACAGCTATTGTTCACTTATCTTGTGCTGTGATGCAACACTGAAATTTCCCCACTGTGGGACGAATTAAGAATCTCTTGATCTATAAGAGTTAGTATTACCGTCATTACCAATGTTTTATAAATGATCTTTCTAAAACCCAAACCTGCCAGAATCCCACTTTGCTTTGGTAATTTCACTAAACACAAGGATTACAATCGATTACACAGCGACTGATACAGCTCATTACCATCAAGTTAAACTAATATAAAACACAAATCACAAAAAAAAGTATTGAATATTCATCATTTTTGTCTCCGCAGGTGCCCAAAGAGAAGAGGATTCTTTCTGTTGCCAAAGTGGTGGAGCTGGTGGAGGAGAAAGGGTCAGTTTGTGTGATGCGTTTATGAAGCGTGTTCAGACAGAGATGGTGTAAAGGCTGTATTTTGTGTGAGCTCATGCTGCAGTCATTACTTACTGTATGTGTTGACAATCTACAGTTGCCATTAATGATATGTCTGATATGAAAAGACAATAGAGGTTCTAAGAATGAAGTAGTAAAGATGTCGGGGATGTCTGACATATGGGCAAGGACTAAGATAATGCACAAAAACAACTATTTATTTGAAATGTTAAAAATCTTTTCTTGAATGCATGGATGACGCACAAACATTAGAAGATCATGTAACAAAACTTTACCTTTACATAATTGCATTTACACATTTATGATTTTAATAACAGTCGACTATCCACAAATACTCGGATCCATTGTGTACATATGGAGAGGAAGAATTTGGCAGTATATATTAATATTAATGCTAACTTGATGGGAAAAACTGCAAATAAAAGAGGTAATGAACAGGCCAGGCAATTGGTAAGTTTATATATTTATTTCTATGCACCTTCAGCAAAGGGTTTGAAAGAAAGAGATAAAGGAAAAATTAAAATCATAAAACAAGTTAAAGTGTATATAATGACAGTGCATCCGTTCATTTAAATTTAGATAAATGTAAAAGAATATCGGTTAAACTGTTTTTAGCCTAGATTTTAACATAACCAGAGAAAGGCAAGGCAAGTTTATTTGTATTGCACAATTAATAAACAAGGCAACTCAAAGTGCTGAACAAAGAAGAAGAAACAGTCACACAAGGCATTAAAATAATAAATAATCACAATACATTAAAAAGAAAGATAAACATTTAAAATCCCTCATTTGTAGAAGCTTGTCTCACATTTTCAGAAAGACCAATCCATCAACTGCATTTTTTTGTTAACAACATTTTATTATAATTCAATTCAATTCAATGTATTCTTGTATAGCCCTAAATCACAACAGTAGTTATCTCAGAGGACTTTACAAAACCGTTGAATTCGCCAACACAGAGCAGAGAATCAAACACGTTGGTATTGATGCATAAGTGTTGATAAATGTCCATAAATGTTGCTCGGATCTGAAATTGAGGATTTATTTTTCAGTTCTATGTTACCCACACACTCCAGCGAGAACCAGACTGGTGAAACCGTGGACAATCGTGTTCAAGTGCTCAAATCCGTCCCAGTGAACTTGTCCGTGGACCAGGACGGCACCTCCTCGAAACGGGACCAGTTCAGCACCTCATCCACGGCCGGTCCTGGCGGGGGTCCACCGGGGGCCACAGGAGACCCGGCCCCCGTGGTGAAAGCAGAGTTCACCCCGCTGTACATGGCGGGACATCACTACAGAGGGGAAGGGGACGAAGCGGGGCGCGTCATCTACGAACCAAACCCTTATGAGGTCACAGCGGCCAGCCACGGCTCCTACGTGAAGGACCCCCAGCAGAGTCCACCCGACAGCCCCTACGAGGAGCAGAGGAACGGGGTGAATATGAGCCAACCAGTCGATTTAGTTGTGCTTAGCTGCCATAGTTAAAGCTGGGGTACCTAACTTTCATTTTTCTCAATTAATATTATTTAGATTCATTTATTTGCCATTTGCTGTAAAACCACATTGGAATACATCCGCAAAAGTCCCCAGTGTGCACAAGACAAGTGCATAAATTAAACGGGTTAGGGTTAAAAGTACAGAAATAACCAACCAACAAAAAATAGCAAACCAAACAAGAAAAAAAAAATTGTTTGTCCTAACAGAAAGTAAAAATGCAGTGAATATATCAGACTACAACACGCTTATTCATTGTATTAGAAAATATGTCATCTCTTGCTTGTAGAAAAAATCCCTTTGAGTTAGTTGTTCTTTGATGCTTTGGTGCTGAGAGCTGATTGGCTGAGTGAGAAGGCTCTTTTTAAATTTTTCTGTCTGTAAAAAGCTGATCCAAAGATGTGACAGAGACCAAAAATGCATGAATATGAAAACTAGGGATAGAACCAAACTGAGACTGAGGAAATAGTTAGCTTGATTGTCACATTATTCCAGCTTTTGTAGTTACATACTTCTGCTTTTTATTATTATTTTTGACCTGGATAAAACCCCTTGCATTTCTACCTATTTTATCTAACAAGGACTCGCAAAATGGTAACAAACTAGTGCCTGAACTTTTTGCACAAACATAGCTTGCCTGATTTTATTTGGAAAAGAGAGTATACCTGATGTCTGGGGGTAGGGTTTAATGGACTGTATAATATTTTGATGCTTCCTCTTTCACAACTGAGGCAAAATTCACTGAAAATGACCAGGGAGTGTAGCAGGCTCAGTAAATGTGATGGTATTAAAACCACAAGGAAAATAAATGGCTACATGTTCATGCTATTGGATTGTGAACAGTTATGCTACTTTGCATCTGTGCTCTGCCTGCAAAAATAATGCTCGATTCTCACTGTGGGACTAAGGTTAGATGTGAACTGGAGAAACAGGTTGGTTGAGTTGATAGAATTTTATCCTCAGGTTCAACTTCTCTGTATATATACGGGACATTTGACCATTCAGATAAATATTGTGTTTTATTAAGGGCTATTATTATTATTATTAATCATACTAATGTGCTAAGTCCATAAGCGCAAACGTTTAATTATGAAACCAGTCTGTATCTCTTTGTATTTGAGTGTACCTTTTTTACAAATGATGGATGCAAAAACTGGTTTACTGTAATTTTTTTCTCACAGTTTTAACTAATTCAACACTTTTTCCAATATGTTTAATGCTAAAAAAAAAAGAATGCTAATGCTTGTAGGAAGTAAACTGGCCATGGCACCACTGGTAACTGAACACTTTAGGGCGGGGTTGTTTTATACGGTACATAAAGACGAATAGATGTTCAAATATTGAAGTCCAAAGGCGGTTTACGTGAGAAATGAGCCGGTACAAGTCCTTAAAGCTCCAGACTCAGACTTTGATCTTCTCGAATCAATATCGTTACAGTTTTCAAACGGTGTTTCTTTGTGGCATTGTTTACTCAGTTCCTCTGAAGTTCGCAGAATATTAATAATTTCCTCTTTCCCCCTGTTTTTTGTGTTGTTCTGACAGAAGTACCACATGCCTTCCTCTATGGCCACGGATGACTACTTATATCACCAGGAAGGAGTGTGAGTGTGAATGTTAACAGCAGAACATCAGCACTTGTTGGTAGTTTAGTCAGGAATATTGTGTTTATTATTTTGTGTGTAGCAGATGCATATTTAGTGTGGTTAAAGATGCAGTCAGAAAGTTTTTCCTAACGTTTTTTTTTTGTTTTGTTTTTTTTTTTTAATATTGTGGGAAAACGTCCCTAAACCCTAAAAATAGTCAAGTTATCATATGTTTTCAAATAGTAATGAATTGACCAGATGCCGATAGTCTCCAAAAATTAATACAAAATATTTTGGAGCAGACCGATAAAAACAAACCAATGGGATTCGTTCATCTCCAACGAACCATAGAGATGCGTTTACCCAATTCACCCTCTTCCTGTTTCTCGCGAGTGCACCGGAGTTATCGGATTTTCTAAAACCTTAAAGGCGAGGGAAGGGGGAGTGGTTTTCGAGTAGGTGCTACGGCTTAGCTAAGAGTAGGTGCTACATCTTAGCTAACATCTAAGCTACGGCTTAGATGTTAGCTAAGATGTTAGCTAACATCATCGCTAACTGCACCTTTAAGACATTATTTGTTTGTAGTTTATAAAGAGAAATACAACCAGACTAGGCTTGTCACAATAACTAATTTGGGTGGTGATATATACACGCTTCAGATAACCAGTGCAATAAAAATTGTTAAACGTTTTTTTTGCTACTGACAATAAAATAGGATCGTCCCATGTAAAGCAATTTTCTGACTTCATAAACAGATTTAAGTAGTATTCAAGCAAAGAACCCTCTACAACAGGGATTTCCAACCTTTTTGATTGGAGAGCTACTTTTATTAAACAGAAATGGCAGAGAGCTACTCCTTTTAGCACTCGTAATACAATTCTAGTCTACATAATAACTACAGAAAATCATAGACATTCACAGTATGCCATAATACAGCATCATTCATTATGTTATACAGTACAGTATCGTATGTAATTACTCAAAAGTGAATCATTCAGGATCATTTGTTAAATTGGATTCTTTGGGGAGCTACCTGAAAGACGGTGGCGAGCTACTGAAAGCTCTGAGACCCCTGCTCTACAACAAAAACTTAATCGATCCAAAAATCGATCCATTATTGCAAAGAAGATAGAGTTTGAGCCCAAAGATGTATAGTAAAGTCTGTAAGTAGTACACTCAGTCATATATGTGTGTGTGTGTTTGGATTGTGTTTGGATTGTAGATCTGTCTGAACTAATTCCCTCTTCTGTGTTTGGACAGTGACAGTTTCCAGTACACGTTGGACGCCTCGCGCTCCCTCCGTCAGAAACAAGGCGAGGGACCCATGACGTATCTGAACAAGGGCCAGTTTTACGCAGTCACACTGAACGAGCTCAGCGCCAACAAGCGGCTGCGTCACCCCATCAGCAAAGTCCGGGTGAGTCCGGTCAGGGCTCTCCTCGCCACAATACTCTCACCTGGTGTTAGTCTGACCAGCCCTTCTGCAGTCTGACACTTGGAGATTCATTTTCTCACGTATTTGGACATTCATGTTGTAGAATGGTGTGGTTCTGGCCGGTCAGGTGAATGTAGTGCAGGATTTCAAATGGGTGAAGAAACCTGTGACAAATGTACCACAGACTGACTCACGAAGCATTGTTTTAGCAGACTTAATTTTTCTTTTGATCAGGAGTGGAGTCTAAAGAAAGGCTTGGTCGATCAATTAAGAGACTAAAAAGGGAATAAGGGAAACGATCTCTAAAGTATAAAAGTTCCTCATAGATTTCAGCTTCATGCAAAACAACTATAGCATGAGGAAATGATGTGTACCTTAGGGGAAAATATGAGGAAAAAATTATTCCTGTCTTAAACAAACATTAAATATTGAGGTAATTCGTGCTGTTTTCCATGAAAATCCAATCATTTAAATTAAAATATTAGTTTGAATACTTATTTAGGTTGATTAGGATGTCACCTTACATAATGTAAATGCAAACACTTTTTTGATGTTTAGCATTGATGCATGAAAGTAGGGTCTATGTGGTCCATTTAACCATCATGATTATAAAAATTCAATTATGATGTTTGATTATAGTTGACAAATCATTGCAGCACCACTGTACAGATCTCTTCTAAGAACTTGTTGATCCCCATTCGCCTCATTCTTCGTCCTCGGGCCAAATACTATCGTCACATATTTACACCAAAAACACATTTTCTCCAAGTCGACATGAAGCTAACGCAGAAAAGCACAGACGTATATTTACAGTCTATGGACCACACTCTGGACTCGGAGAGAGGCTGCATGGGCTGACCATAGCTGCTGCTGATTTGCTGGTTCAGTTTCTCCCCGCTGTCAATCACCTCTTGGAGGCGGGCTTTTGACATTGTTGCAGATTATTGCATGTCACGTTTTGAAACGACTCGATTCTGTGCCTCTTGAGAATGATAGAGAAAGATCGATATCTGACTAAAGCTTGAGGGAATCAATGAGAAAACTACTCTGGGCATCTGTGTGAAGCCAAATAGCACTGTGATGCTATTTGGCTATTTGCTAATTCTACAAAATATGGGACCTTTAACTTAAAGGTATACTGGAGGGTTTCCCAAATCTTAGGAAAGAGCCGCCCCCTCTCCACTTTTTCAACAAAACTTTCTGGTCTTATTTGACGAGAACGTATCACCAGAATGATCAAACAATTGGGAGAACCAATAGTCTTGATGATCCACCCGGAAGTAAACGATCGTCCGATATACCTTTAATAACAGTTAACAGGGGGCGACAGTAGCTCAGTTGGTAGAGCATTGGTCTTTAGGCCAGAAGGTCGTGGGTTCAATTCCCACCTCTGCACCTTCTCCACCGACTCCCACTGATGACTGCTGTCGTTGTGTCCTTGGGCAAGACACTAAACCCCACTTTGCCCAAAGCCCCCACTGATTAAATTAAATGGATTAAAGGGTAGAAAATGGATGGATGGATGATCCAAATGTGACGTAGTAGTAGTCTTTATTTAGAATTATTAATTGTGCAATACAATAAAATAGAAGAAACATATATACAAACACATATATACACACAGATCAAAAAGAAACATCACCCTTATTGTATTCATCATAGCATTTAAGTCAAGACAGAAAATCAGTTTATCTTTTGCCATCGACTCACATCATGTGCTGCTGACCTATAATAAATGTTTTCTCTTTTATGCGCAGAGCGTGATCATGGTGGTTTTCAGTGAAGACAAAAACAGAGACGAACAGCTTAAATACTGGAAGTACTGGCACTCGCGGCAGCACACGGCCAAACAGAGGGTCCTGGACATCGGTAAGAGTCACTCACCACCCTCTGTGTTTGCCAGCGCAGGTGAATGTCTGATTTGAGCTGCCTTATGCTGGACCTAGTCTGTGACAGGGATAGACTGATGCCGATTCTGATGCTGGAATGCCTTCAGCTAATAAACAAGGCCTGGGTAAACATGAAGCTCGCACACGCCCACCCAATGTTTGCCCGAGGGCCGCCCACCTTCTCACAACCACGACATGAATCAGTAATCTGGGCGTTGTTAGGTCTCAATTTGGATCCTATAATCTTCCTACATGGGTCTAAAGACTGGAGTGTTTTTGTCAAACTTGTCTTATCAAACAGCTCATGTTTGCACTTCCTTATCTCCAGGTTGTGATTTTGAGGTTGAAGTTGTCATTAAAGTGGTTTAGGGTTAAAGTTATTCAGCCGCAGCAGATGTAAGAACCTGGCATCACAGTAAGAGAAGGACTAATTCATCAAAACAAACAGGATCTTGTTGTTGTGAAGAGTATGATACACAAAACAAATACTACGTTAAGCTTTAGGCACTTGAAGATTTAGTCAGAGGGGAAGGAGTCACTCACACAGTACTGTATGTCAAAGGTACTTGAAGTAGTTGGGTCAAACAATGATTTTTATCAATAAGTTGATTTGTTTTGTCAATATAGCAATAGCTTGAAAATTCACTAAATGTAAAGAAACACATGGACTCTCCCGAAAAATGAGAATGGGAAAGAGATTGGATAAAGTGTAGCTAGTTCTAAATATGTAAAGCATTTATTTGTTCACATACCCATAGTCCAGATTATGTCTAGAATCAAGTTGCTGTTATGAGTTCAAATTATTATGATTTTTTTTCTTGTTTAGTGCTGGTTAGAAGTAGTAGTTTTGATTTTGATTTTCTGGTATTAAAGTGAACGCCAGTAACTTTTAAAATGTTTATGGATGGACTAAAATATATGTTGAGAAGAACTGGTTAGCTCACTGCCGCAGCATCCTGATTGGTTTCACTGTTCTCCCCCAGCAAATCTTACTAGCTGTAGTTATGTAGTTAGGGACTGTTTTAGTTAAATACAATGTAGTTAGGGGCTGTTTTAAATATTTCATTCTAAAGAAAATGGCGCCGTGGCAAGAGCTCTGGTGCACACCGGAGAGTCTTGCACAGTTTTTCCAATGTGGTTTTACTGCAAATGGCAAATAAATGCTTGAATCTTGAATCTTATTGTACGTGATAGTAAAGTTTCCCATGGTCAGAAATATGAATTATTTTTAAAATGAAATTATTGTGGTTGTTGCCATCACCTTTTAAGTTATGGTGCAGTCCTGGTTTTACAAAAGAGCAAAAATCAAGCCTGGTTAAGTCTGGGTTTTGTTTTGTTTGTCATAACCCAGGATTAGCGCATGTTTACTCCAGGTTTAGTCTTGGTTCAGCCCGTTGAAGATGCTACTGGTCGTGAAGCCTACTTTTTGAGCTGGTGTTTGAGTCTATAGACAGTCAGAGAATGATGGATGCGAATTTGCACATCTTTTGTGAATGTGAGAAGCTTGTAGGCGGATTTTGCTGACAAGCCGGGGCCTGTATCTGCGAGTACACACAGAGAGGAATGTGGGAGACTGTGGGATGGATACGAGACAGTCAGAGAAACACACCTCCATCAGCTTGTCAGGACAGGGACAAGAATGTTACCTCGCATGGTCCTGGTCTGTTGAACAATATCATTGCCCAATTTAGATCGCCATCTTAATTCTTATGTTGACATGTCCCACACCAAAAGCTCTGGAAGGCACCAAACACATTGACAGCTGCAGAAGTGGAACGAGTGCATTCTTTAAACCAGCAGAGCAATTATTTGTTCTATAGCAGCGTTCAGGCTCCTATTTACAAAGGGCAGTGAACCAGTCTGCATCTTCATATATAGTCAAGCAGGATAGCCATCACAATAATTCCTCTTTGAATGGAAGAAAAATGACTTCTTGTCTCACATTTTGATGAGTAGAAAAAGGTCTAATTGGGACTAATTCATGATGAGTCTATATCACTTCCAAATCAACGTTTACTGTTTTATTTCATCATTTAATTTATTTTGTAAGCAGTTTAATTTATTTTGTAAGCAGTTACAGGGGTCCTCTTTATAAAAAACAGAAGGTCTCACATGGTATATTAGATTAAAGCTGGGATATCTTACTTTCAAACCACAAAAATGTATTACTGTATGTAATGAAATGCATGTAACTAGTTCTTTCACTAGTTTTAACATACTGTACATTTATTATTCGCCTCTGTTATATCTTCACTCAACCAATCAGCTCTCAGCCCAAACCATCAATTATTGACTCATTGGGCTCTTTTTTACTAGATTAAGATTAAGTTTAAGAGATCCCTTATTCTTTCAGTGTTGCCAGTGTTGGAGAGTAACGGATTACATGTAACTGTATTCCTTTACAGTTACTACTTCAAAGTCTAGTAGAGAATATTCAGAAGTGTACCATGTTTAAGTTTTGTACATAAACATTAATGTACAATGAATATGAATACAAATAAAAAGAAAAAAATAAAGTATACATAAAAGTATTTGATACTATTTTTTCCAAAGTAACGGAATACATTTTCAAAGTATTCTACCCAACACTGAGTTACAGAACAATAGGAATGAGGAGAACACAGCACAAGATAAATGAGTAATAACCCTATTATTCAGATTCAGATTCAGATTTATTTATTTGCCATTTGCAGTAAAACCACATTGGAAAAACTGTGCAAGACTACCCCAGTGTGCACCAGACAGAGGCGGCACACACCAGAGCTCTTGCCATTTAGATTTAGATTTTTTATTCTAAAATCAAAATAAAATCTAAAGTAAAATATCTCACTCTAGCATAAAAAGAAGTATAAAATCTCTATCTTTAGCATAATAAGGAACTAAGTCTTTAAATCTCCAACTTTAGCATGATGTAGAAGCAAGACTTTTGTACTTACATTCAGATAACCCCTGATTACTAGTCTTTGTCGATGTCTGATTTGTACGCAACATTTGACTTTTCCATGGACAATAGGAATGTATGAATAATTAATGAAAAGAGTTAAGTACCTCAGCTTTAATTTTGGTTGGAGCATTTATCGAATCAGCCTTTGAAGTGAACATGTTTTAGGGTCATAAACATTCAAAGCAGTTCAGATGACAAGCTTCCGTCTGTGGGTCAGGGGGACTGGGTCTGGTCTCGTAACGTGATCCTGGTTTGGGAGTGTGACTGGGACGGGGTGCAGCGTGCCTCCAGGCCTCTTCTCCGAACGGGACGGTGTGTGAATGGGGTTAAAGCAAAGGAGCAACAGCAGAACGGCACCTTGCTTTGTGCACCTGTCGCAGGACCAGACGACAGTTGGGGGACGAGGACAGCACCCACGACCGCTCAATGAAGAATAAAGACTGAACATGTGGATAGTGAGTGTCTGAAAGCACAGGTTTCATCAGTGTAGCGCTGAAATCAATCAAGTTTAAATTGTGGAGAATGTGGTTTGAAGTTCAGACTTTTCTAAATGATAATTATTTGATTCCTGTCTTGTTGAAGTTCAGGAAAGTTATTTTGCAATACTCAAATCAATTCTATTCAATGTATTCTTGTATAACCCTAAATCACAACAGCAGTTATCTTGGAGGACTTCACAAAACCCTTGAAATCTCCAACACAGATCAGAGAATTAAACCGTTCAAACACAAATAATATAGAACACATTGGTTCGTAGGGAGTTGATCAATGTCCATAATTGTCCAAATACATCTTATTTGTTTATATATACACATGAATAATGCCTTTACAGTTATTTTCCCTGTGTGAATGCAGTATCCTGAAATGCATGGAAATGTATATTGAACCTTTGTTGAATGAAAGTCAGTTTTTGCGTCAGTGCACACGTTAAAGCTCTCAGCTGTTTAAGCACTTATTGTCAGTTTTATGGCCGCTGTGGCGGTGTCTCCAGACTTGCCCCGAGGCACTCTTCTGACTCTTACATCTTGCATTTTGGCCAAATGGCCCAGTGCGCTTCCACTCGCTGTCTTTGAAGCCTGAGAGCCTGTTTGCTCAGGCTGATAAGACTTATAAAATAGAAGTGTGCCATTGGATTGCTTATCTGCACTAACAATAGCTACCTGCTTGTGTCATTTATTGACCAAAGCATACAGCGCATATATTGACCTTTTGCTTTGCTTTGTTCACTGTGTTTTTGTGACTTGTAAGCAACGCATTGACTGATGTCTGTCTTTTTTCAGCTGATTACAAGGAAAGCTTCAATACTATTGGGAACATAGAAGAAATCGCTTACAACGCCATCTCCTTCACCTGGGACGTCAACGAAGAGGCCAAGGTAAGGGAGGAAATCAGATTCAGATTCAGATTCATTTTATTTGCCATTTGCAGTAAAAAAAAACACATTGGAATACATTAGCAAAAAGTCACCAGTGTGCACAGACAAATACAGACATAAAACAACATTAAAAGACAAAAATAAAACAAATAAAACAGTAAACAAATGTCACTGTGAAATCGATCGACTAAAACATTTTCAAAACAAGTGCAAATCATTAAAGTGCTCTGTTCACACTGATAACAGCTTGTGGATAAAAACTGTTAGCGTAACGAGATGTCCTGCATCTCAGAGAGCGATATCTTCTGCCAGAGGGAAGAAGCTGGAACATGGCTTTCCCAGGGTGGCCAGAAGAGTCATTAACAATCCTAAGAGCTTTGTTTAAAAGTCTGGATTTATAAAGAACCTCCAGAACAGGAAGCTCACAGCCCACGGTCCTCTTTGCAGAGCGGAGCACCTTGTTTAAAGCTCTCTTTTCTTTATCTGTGATGTTTCCAAACCACACAAACACAGAACCAACAAGTAAACTCTCAATGGTGCAGCGATAAAAGTTAAGCAGAATCTTAGAGTTAGTGGTAAATTCTCTAAGTTTACGCAGAAAGTAGAGACGCTGACGAGCTTTCTTAACGACTCGGTCAGTGTTTTTAACCCATTTCAGGTTAGACAGAGTTAAACCCAGAAACTTGCACTCCTCTACGATCTGCACCTGGGAGTTGTCGATTACGACAGGCAAATGAGAACTATTGCGACTGAAGTCGTAGACCAGTTCACATGTTTTGGATGCGTTCAACTGGAGGTTGTTAGCTTTACTCCACTGAACCACGTTTTGTATCTCTGCTCTATAAGAGGATTCATCAGTGTCACTGATGAGACCGATGATGGTGGTATCATCAGCATATTTGATGATCAAGTTTGAGTCAGAGGAGGACACACAATCGTGAGTGTACAAAGTAAAAACAAAATACATCCTTGAGGAGAACCAGTGCTCACAGAAACAACATCAGAAAAACAGTCATTGATTTTAACTCTCCTCACCAAAACTTAACAAGTAAAGGAAATATAATAAGGTGAAACTATTTCAATTGTTGTCCAAGGAAACTGTTTCTATCCCAATATGTCAAAGTTAAATGTATATAGGAGGATTTTCTGCTTCCGGGTGGATCATCAAGACTATTGGTCCTCACAGTTGTCAATCATTCTGGGGATTCATGCTCGTCAAATAAGACCAGAGTTTTGTTCAAAAAGTGGAGAGGGCGGTTCTTTTCTAAAATTAGGGAAGTTCCTCCTTTTTACCTGGAGAATTTGGTGAGTTAAATGAGTGATTACAGCAAAACATTCCCAAAGAAATCCTTCAGGGTTTACGCTGAATGGACCGAGGACCCACATAAAAAGTACAGTCTCTACTCAACTGCATTTCATAACTTCTCTGTCGCTGATTTCTTCTCTGCAAACATTTCAGTCTCGCCATAATCGAGCGGCAGTCATTTTCCCCAAACCGGTCGGCCGTGTTTGCTCTTACATAAAGAAGTGCAGTCGGTGTTCAAAAGCAGCACGACTGGTTTTTTGCGCTGATTCAGTTGTTGCCAATAAAAAACGCACAACCAACGAACCGGTTTTTGGAGGTTGTGACGCAAGCACCTGTTACTCACTGTACGCAGAGAAAACCGTGAGAATAAGGAAGGACTTTGACCCGGGGGCGGACAAGTTAGTAAACTAGTGCAGGATTGTCTTCATGAAATTGTCACGGATATAAGATATAAGAGTATTCCAATCTGATGTCTGCATGATTTTAGCAACATGTTAACTCAAAATCTTGTCCCCATAGTTTGTTATCTTTCTGTACTTTTAACCTGGTTTTATTTATGTGCATGTCTGGTGCACACTGGGGACTTTTGCACAAGTATTCCAATGTGGTTTTACTACAGATGGCACATAAAATGACTAAATCTGAATCTAAAAAGGTGCTTTCCAAGGCATTTTTGTTGGAATCAAGTTAGCTGTACGTTCGCAATCCTAGCTATTATTATACTTAATCAATATTGTGTAGGTTTTTTTGTGCAATGTTGAGTTTTTTAATTGCAAAAACACATTTCTTTATGCCTTGAATGAATGAATAGTCAAAACTTTAAGCCTCAATAACTTATTGGGGAATTATCTATATAACAAATGGGACAACTTACAGTACATCTCTCAGGGTTATTTCCCCACATAAACTGCTTGAAGTCTGCATCCATCTAAGATTTTCTAAGATTTTTTCATATCTGAGTATTATGGCTATAGGCTGCGATAGTATTTACTGCACCTTGTGACTACAGACCCGTGATTTGAAGCATCATAAAGTCTTTTCAAACCCATTCTATTGTGACCACTCCTGTCGCTGTTTGAACTGCCCCGAGGGACCCACCCAGTGCAACCACGCCCTACTTGTCCTATTTGTTTTGCCCTCATTTCGGTGTGAATGTGGGCGGCCCTGTGCGTTTGTATCCAAGGCCTGGGGACAAAAGACAACGCTGGAGGAAGTCCAAGCACACTTTTGTACGGCCAATACGCTCTTAATAACTCTGCGTTCCTTCTATAGTAACGCTGATTATGTTTCCAGAATGAGATCAAATGACAGCAGCAGCAAAGCGGAAGTGTGATGTTAATAGAAGCAGCATTATTATTTGTTTATTTAAGAGGGACAGAACAAGAAGCATTGTCACAAATAACCAATTAGCGGTTAGCGAATTAGCCGTTAGTTTGCTCATGTAGCTAACGGCTAATTCGCAAACAAGGAAATAACCAAACAAGACCTGTATTAATCCTGTATTTATCCACAATCTTGTTTATTATTTACTTTAATGTTATTATTTATATCATTTAATCTGGGGTACGTAACTTTCAAACCACAAAAACTGGATCAATGTAAAACAATAAAACCCTCCTTTTTCAAAACTTGGGACATGTTTTTCATTTGATAATTGATATTTGTACCTTGTGTTGTGCTGGTTTTAAATTAGATAAATAACTAACTAACTAACAATCCATATATTTCCTTTCTCTCAAAACAGTGCCCTTATATTACTAGTTTTCAGACTTATGTACAGTATGTTTTGGCCTCCATCACATCTTTAGATCAGCCTTTTCAGACTGAAAACTGAGAAAAACAGGACCACCCTCACTTGTTTTGATATCTGATATGTTCTTGGTTCACAATATTTCCCTCATGGAAGACTCTTTCTATTGGTTGTTAGTTATGAGGACACCATTTAACACATATAAGGACAAAATATGTTGAGGTCCAGATAGAAATAAAATAAAATTCAGTGCGGTGATCTTTCTGGTGGATGGCAGATGTAACCGGCCCTATTTAAGTTTAGGATCTGTGGAGACGAGGAAATCAAAATGTTCCCTGTTTGTTGGTGCACTGACGCTTTTAAAGAAGTAATAAAACTCATGTTACTGTTTCTTTAATTGCCATTTATTGTATATAATATATCCTGAAAAGACTATATTTTTTGCCTTTAACATGTTTGCACACTTCTGTCTTTTGCACAAATCTGAGTGATTCTATCTGAGCCAAATGAGACAAATGTGATCAATAAAGTCTATCTTATCTTATCTTAAAGAGTTTGAATATTTCTTGCTGCAGATTTTCATCACTGTGAACTGCCTGAGCACAGACTTCTCGTCTCAAAAAGGCGTGAAGGGTCTCCCGCTGATGATTCAGATCGACACTTACAGCTACAACAACCGCAGCAACAAGCCGCTGCACCGGGCCTACCTCCAGATCAAGGTCTTCTGCGACAAGGTCATTACACACACTACACGTTTAACCACCTCAAAATTAATATTCTACAGAAAAGTATGTAACTCTTGTTCTGCCCTGGGGGTGTGGAGAGGGCCAAGCTTCCGGTCAAGTAAAAATCCCCATTAAAATCCGCTTAGGGATCTATATATCATCTTTTTGTGAAGTTTAATCAATCATTCAACTTTTATTAGCGCCTTTCCTACACAAGAAAAACAAAAACGCCTTACAACCCCATCTCACATCATGCATAAATCATCAAACATTAAAATCTGCATAAACCTTTAAAAAAAAAACACACACACACACACACACACACAATAAGAACACGAAAAATATTAAAAACATAAAAAATAAAATCACACAAGTAGTTAAAAACCTTAAAACATTAATATCGCACTATCAAGGTCTTTGGTATTGTCTTTCCATGTTTCTATATTGATTGAATTATGTATCGGTAAGTGTTTTATGGATTTAATTTAAAATTTTATTGACTAAATTAATTCTATCCATCTAAATTGTATAAAATATCACGTATAATTTGTCCTTTATCTCGCTTATCTACAGTTCTTAGTGGATGAGTCAGTTTACACTATGGTACAGACAGAAAGGGCTCCCTCTAGTGGCTTGACCTACACACTGCTGCTGCCTGCACTTATGGGAAGCAACTCAAACAAACCCAAAGTTAATGTGGATTTTTATTTTGTTTTTCAGGGCGCAGAGAGAAAAATAAGAGATGAGGAGAGGAAACTGTTTCGGAAGAAGTCCAAAGGTTTGTCAATCAATTCATTTCCACCGTGTTTGTGCAGAGGGCATAAACTTATTTCTGTTTAATTCCAGGCAAAGACGGAAGCGCAGGTGTCACTTCTGTTCCGAAAAAGTCTGATGCCACTTACTTCAAAACGATGGTGGATCTGGAGGCTCAGCCCGTTCTGTTTATCCCTGACGTTCACTTTGGAAACTTGCAAAGAGCTGGACAGGTAGATAATAAAGTAGAACGGGTCAAATGCTATAACTATAACATAACCTTACCTTATTTGTAGTTTTAACATGGTTTTAATGTGAATTTCAGGTTTTCACTTTCAACACAGAAGAGATTGATAGAGAGGGGTGAGTAGAGCAAAGCTATTAACCCGCAGTCAATTTGTTATTATTTGCATTAAAATATGTGTGTATTCATGTATTATTAGTCAACGTGTGTGTTTTATGTGTTGTTTCCAGGAGTGTTTTGGTGAAGAGGATGTACAGGTCGTCTGATGAAGATCTGTGTCCGTCGCCTCAGAAACAAATGAAAGAAGACACGCACAAGAGAGGTACAAGGAGATTGAAAAGATGAAACTGTCAGATACTGTATTATTATATTAGCATTGTCTTTGTATAAAATGGGTGCACATAGAGGATATTTATTATTTCATGGTGGTGCTAACACTTGTAAACGTATGAATAGATAAATACTGGAGTGGAGCTATTGTCCAGTGAGAAACAGGACGTAAAAACACCTTTACGTGGAGTGTTCTTCCCTGCCGGGGGACTACGGATGCAAATTAGCCTAAGGCTAACTCCGGTACAATGCATCAAATGGAAACATTTATGTTCTAATTGTACACTGTCCCTTTTTAAATAAATAAATAAATAAACATAGACACGGTGAAAGAGGATAATCGCTGGGGTTCCATAATATTATAGGCGATAAATACATGTCTGTAAATATGTATAAAAGATGACAGCGACAGTAGCTCAGTTGGTTGAGCATTGGCCTTTGAGCCAGAAGGTTGTGGGTTCGAGCCCACCTCTTTCTCCATCGACTCCCACTGTCTGCTGTCGTTGTGTCCTTGGCAAGACACTTCACCTTTGCCTAGAATGAGTCTGGTGTGTGTGTGAATGGTTGGTGGTGGTCGGAGGGGCCGATGGCACATACTGGTTGCCTCGCTTCTGTCAGTGTGCCCCAGGGCAGCTGTGGCTACAGTAGTAGTTTATCACCACCGTGTTTGAAGTGAATGAATAATGACAAGTAAAGTGTCTTTGAGTGTCCAAAAAAGCGCTTTATAAAACTGATGCATTATTATTATTATAAAACCAAAGTATCAAATGGTCATAGTTATAGTGTTATTAAAGCTGGGTTACCTGACTATCATTTATTTCACTCTTTTCCTATGGAGTTACTGTTAGGTTTAAAATCCCAGTATGGCATTAAAGGCAGGTCTATTTTCAAGCCGGTGAAGTCGCCTTAACAATAAAGAAGTCCGGTCAGTGTAAGAATACATGTAGCCTGTCCTTAGACGTTCATAAACTCCGGAAAATGATCATTTCCTACATGTCCATCTGGGTCTGATCCTGACTGCGGTTTCCTCGGTTGAATCCCCTCCGACCAATCAGCGAGCGGGGGAGGCGGGTGTTGTAGGGAGGTGTTGGTGACGTCAAGAGTTTGCGCTGAAGTTGTCGGTTGTAGTTTGGCAATGGCGGCGTTCTGGTTCGGCTCCAAATATTAGGAAATTGAAGCCGGAGCAGGAGGAATGTTTAGAAAATGTCATTGCTCCAAAGATGTTGTGGCTCTACTCCCCACGGGCTCCGTTAGTGGCAAAGGAAATGGCTAATGACCACATTAGTCCAGTCCTCAGGTCTCTGCACTGGCTTCCTGTGGCTCAGAGAATAGACTTTAAAACAGCTCTGCTTGTGTACAAGTCTCTCCATGGCCTCGCACCAAAATATATTAGTGACATGTTAGTCCCATATGAACCAGCCCGGACTCTGAGGAGCACAGGGACTGGACTCCTGTTAGTGCCCAGAGTCAGGACTAAACATGGGGAGGCTGCTTTTCAGATTCATGCTGCTAAAATCTGGAACAATCTTCCTGAAGATGTGAGACAGGCCTCCTCTCTGACAATATTTAAAACCAGGTTAAAAACAGTTCTGTTTAGCTGTGCATACAACTGAGAAATTTTATATTTTTATCTTTCTTTTTAATATTCTGTGATTATTTATGATTTTAATGCTTTATTATTTTGTTCAGCACTTTGAATTGCCTTGTGTATGAATTGTGCTATATAAATAAACTTGCCTTGCCTAAAGCTAGGCTAAGTGCTAAAGGCCTCACTCACTCGGGAACATACCATACTGTACATTACGGTAAACTCAGATCTAATCGTTTTAATCTGCAAAAGGAGTAAACCCCTCCCACCTGTTAACGGAGCTCAATGGAGAAAATCCAGACCTTAGTAAGAGATGAAATGAGTACGATGGTTTGGTAAGACCAGGCTAGAATACATATAATATTATTCTGTGAAAGATTCCAGTCCAATCCGACAAGATCCACACATCTGAAAAGTGATGCTGAGAATGATGAGAGATCCATAGTGACTTAGTGGATCTTTTTAACTATTTAGCCGTGAAGTTTTTCCTTATGTTATGTCAATGTTCACTTTCCTGTTTGCAGTCCTGCTGTACGTGAGGAAGGAGACTGACGAGGTTTTTGACGCACTGATGCTAAAGTCTCCAACTCTGAGCGGTCTCATGGAAGCGGTGAGTCACGGCGTTTACAGCAGTGGACTTTGCTGAGAATTTTGCACAATGGCGTAACTAATGTGACAATAAATAAATCTGCTTTTGGTGTGTTTTAATAGATCTCAGAAAAGTATGGGCTGCCGACAGAGCGAATGGTAAAAGTCTACAAGAAGAGTAAGAAAGGGTGAGTGTGTGTTTGCACCGGATTCTACAATATTAATCTGAGTTTAAACCTTATAATGCTAATCACAAAGACTGCAGCTGTTCAGACTGGTGTTTCCCAACCGGGGGTTAGCGGACCCCCGTGGGTACATGATGGTGTTACTGGGGGGACTAGCAATTATTTTCACAACATGCAAACATTGAGAGTAAGAGTCAATATGTAAGGGATAACGTATATTACGCAGGTCATTATCGGAAAATAAGTACAGACAGGGTGCGCGTAGGGGTCCGCTTCCGCCCTGAAGGTACTTATTTTCCGATAATGACCTGCGTAATATACGTTATCCCGCTTATTATACGGCTTTATACCAACAGAACACACAACATAAACTTCAATCCACTTTTAGGAATGCCGAAAGGTTTATTTAATGACAGAAAATAAAATAGTTCCCAAAGGCTTTCCCGTGGCTATGCTAGCAACAGTTAGGCTAGAAACTTCCAAACTAGAACTCTCTGGAACTGCATGAAAACTGAACAAAGCATTCTGAACATCAGCGGTGAGTGACCCATACATAAACCTAACCTAAATCCATAATTCGATCCTCTGCGTGTCCGAAAATGTGCCGGTATCTTAAAATGTGCCGGTATCTACTTCCGGGTTTTTCGGGATCGCCTTTTCTCGCATTACATCAGTGTTTTTGTCATGAAAACGTAAACGGAAAATTCTGAAAACTTCAGTGCACTTATTAAAACTGGATATGTATAATTCACTCTCCGATTAACATTTCATTGCGTTGATTGATTGGCATTTGCTTTTATTGAGCGGCCGGAACTACTTCCGGGTTTTTCACGATCGCTTTTTGAGGCAGAGAAATAGTATTTTTGTCATGAAGACAAGACCAGAAAATTCTGAAAATTTCCGTGCACGTGTGTGAAGAATGTATATGTATAAGTATTCTCCGATTATCATTTAAGTGTGTTGGTTGAGCGTGGCTAGCTCAGGAGTGCCGGAACTACTTGCGGAGTTATCCACGCATTTGAAAGACAAGCAGAGAGTGCGTTGCCATGGGCAGCGGTCATTATTATTTTGAGAGGTCCGTTATAGAAAATAATGACCGGTAGAACGTTTTGAAATTACATTCAAATCAATGGAGCATTCTACAGCTGCTGTGAGGAGCCGTATAATAAAGGCTAATATGGCATGTTATACATAATTTCAATAGAGTAGAGTAGGGTAGGGTAGAGTTGGGTAAAGTAGAGTAGGGTAGTGTATAGTAGAGTAGAGTAGAGTAGAGAAGAGTAGGGTAGGGTAGAGTAGGGTAGGGTAGAGTAGGGAAGAGTAGAATAGGGTAGAGTAGGGTAGGGTAGGGTAGAGTAAAGTAGGGTAGGGTAGAGTAGGGAAGAGTAGAATAGGGTAGAGTAGAGTAGGATAGGGTAGGGTAGGGTAGAGTAGGGTAGAGTAAAGTAGAGTAGAGTAGGGTAGAGTAGGGTAGAATAGGGTAGAGTAGGATAGAGTAGAGTAGGGAAGGATAGAGTAGGGTAGAGTACAGTAGGGTAGAGTAGAGTAGGGTAGAGTAGAGTAGGGTAGAGTAGGGTAGGGTAGAGTAGAGTAGAGAAGGGTAGGGTAGAGTAGAGTAGGGTAGAGTAGAGTAGGGAAGGATAGAGTAGGGTAGAGTAGAGTAGGGTAGGGTAGAGTAGAGTAAAGTAGAGTAGAGTAGAGTAGAGTAGGGTAGAGTTGGGTAGGGTAGGGTAGGGTAGAGTAGGGTAGAGTAGAGTAGGGTAGAGTAGAGTAGGGTAGAGTTGGGTAGGGTAGGGTAGAATAGGGTAGAGTAGAGTAGAGTAGAGTAGGGTAGAGTAGGGTAGAGTAGAGTAGAGTAGGGTAGGGTAGGGTATTTATCTTATTGAAAAAAATTCTAATCAAGTTTGCCTTTTTTGTAAAGTTGTTAGAAAGAGAGTGTGTGATGCTGAGATCTGATTGGCCGAGCAAGAGTGGTCCTCTCTTTCTGACTCTTCTGCAAAGACAGAGGCCAAAAATATATTTTTCTGAAAGCCTGTGACAAGCTAGAAGCAAAGTGTTTTAAGATCGAGGGACGAGAGAGACCGATTTTATTTCATAGTTCCATTTGAATGGTTTGAAGGTTCCTCAGGTTAAGGACGTTCCACATCAAAGGAATCCAGATGTAAAATTTCGTCTGTTTTATAAGATCGCTCATGTTTTGCATGTCGCATATTAGATTAGATTAGATTAGATTAGATTAGATTAGACTAGATTAGATAGAGAGTGATCTTCCTGCGCAACGTGGCCTTGGTCCTCGTTCTGTAGCTTGAGTCCTGGATCTACAGCTCGTCTGTCAGTGGGAGCGGATCCCTCTCTCAACGTGGTTCTCCCCGAGGTTTCTCACCTTTTCCCACTGGGTTTTAGACTTTGTCCTTGCCGATAACTATTAGTGGGTCTAACAAAAGGACTGTGGTGATGATCCAGGACATTCAACATTCAACTAGATAGATAGATTCTTTATTGATCCCCGTTGAAGAAAGTCAGGTGTCCAGTAGCAGCAAAAATAAAAAATAAAATTGATCATTCTAAAAATCTATGGACATTTATCAACATTTATGGACATTGGTCAACTCCCCATGGACCAATATTTATATGTTCTCTATTCTTTGTTGTCTTGTTTGAGTCTCTGATCTGTGTCGGCAATTTCAACGTTTTTGTTAAGGCCTCTGAGATATTGTTGTGATTTAAGGATACAAGAATAAAATTAAAATTGAATTGAATCTTTGCCGAGTTATAGTTTTACATCTGTCTCCGAACAGGATCTTGGTCAACATCGACGACAACATCGTGGAGCATTATTCAAATGAAGACACGTTTATCCTGAACTTCGAGAGCTGCGCAGACAATTACAAAGTCACGCTACAGGAAATCTGAGGAGGTCCCGAGCGCTGCGGAACGACAAATGTGAAACGGACTTTGGCTCCTGAGCTGAAGCGCTGGGACAGTCTTCCTCCTGTTACACTATGAAGCACATTTCAGACCAAAAATATGAACTTTTCATTTCAATTGTATACAGAATGTTGTACAGTTTTTTTTTTTTGCCATACGTCAGGAGTAGCTTGAACTAGACGGTCCTTAACATAGCAGCCTCTTTTGCATGCAAGTTTTGATATTTTTTTGTTGGTTAGCCATTATTATTTATTATTTTTAATGTAAGATTATTGTTAACATTTGATCCTAAATATTTCCTGTGCCTTAACATTTCAGTGATGCTTCTTCATGGTCCTCAAGTGAAAAGTAATGTTATTTGCCAAACATGTAAAGTGCCTTCTGTGGAGAGGGACCAATTCAAAAGACAAATTTATGGCACTTGTTTATCATCGAGGGGACGTGTTTAGACGTGTAAAAGTTAATTAAAATGAATTAAATAATCATATTAAGTGAAAATGTTGTGTGTGAATGTGAAGAGAGTTCAGCGTGTCATAAAAGGCATTTAAAGCCTCTCTGTGAACCTTCTAAAAGTAGATTTAAAGGAACAGTACGTAGTATTTTCTCGCACCGGTGTAACAGGTTCGATACATTTCAATCATGTGTTACCAGTGTCCTTTCATGTTGATTATTTTAAAGCCAACAATAAATATATTTATACATATGGATAATAGAAATACAATTATATATATCCATGTTTTCTCGTAAAAGTAAAATGTGAAAAAAATCAGACTACAGCATGCCGTCCTTATCTTTTTAGAAAACATGTTATTTGTAAACTATAGAACTGACTATTTGATGCTGAGAGCTGATTGGTCCTCTTTTACTTTTCTGTCTGATTATACTGGTCTAGATGTGACAGAGGCAAAAAAATGAATGCATTTTGGTTAATTAAATAATCTTTAATTATATAGCGCATTTTTACAGACCAAGGTCATCCAAAGCACTCAAGAGTTCAGATATTGTTCCATTCTCCCCACACGGTGATGACGGAAGCGAGACGCCAAACACACCTATTTTAGTGGTAGGGGAAACCGGAGCACCCAGAGGAAACCTACGCAGACACAGGGAGAACAAACTCCACTCAGAAAGGCCCTGTTCCGACCGGGATTCGAACCCAGGACTGTCTTGCTGAGGAGGCCACCATACTGCCCTACACACATGTAGTAGTACCAGTAGCAATTTCCTCCATAACCAGTGTTTTTTCATTACTAAACTGAACTTTGACAAGATCTCCTCAGCTCATACTAAACCTGTAGTGAAGACAAGACTGAAGCGAGAGAAACAGAAAAATCAAAAACACACCATTTTCACCATTTATTTGAACTAAATGGACGTCCTACACAGAGCACATAATGCAAGTTTTACAAAATGATACAGTGATGTAGTTTTGTTCGACAGTTATTCTCTGCACAGTATAAACGGATACAATACTGTCCTTTTTTTCCTCGTCTAGATATTTGGCACTTTGACCACAAGATGCTAGAAAGTGAAATGTGGGACTATCCTTTGTGTGAGATTACCGCAGCCTGGATCGCTCTACAACAGCGGCGGTAAATATAATGTAGTGGAAGCTCAAAGTCCTGTCATTACGTTGAACTATGATGGATTTCAAAATAACAAGAGAAAATGCAACATATGACAGTGTTTTAGTGCATAATGTTTTTCAGACCTGCTTTTTTTAGGGCTAGCTTAGTCAATTCTTTTGGATGGCCCTAAAGAAGAACCATATACAGGTGAAATGGAATAACCTCTATCTTTTTTTTTAATCTTTATGGGAAATCCAATCCCACCACCGCCTCACGTCAAGCTGTAAAAATAGTGCTACTTCTTCCTGTCAAAAATGGAAAAAGAGCACAGGCTAAAAGTAGCAGCAAGTTTTTTTTTTAAAGCAGATTCGTTAGCAATGCCTGTGGTCCTCTCCCTTCAACCTCTCGCGTTACCGTTTGAATATACTGTACACAATATATTTATCAAGTAAATAAAATGTTCACATTCAAATAAGTTAAAAGTAAAATGCAGCCGATTGCCACGACATTTCAAAATAAAATACATCTCCTATTAAGTATTCAAACAGCTATCCTTTCTGATTACTTTGTTAACATTAGCTGAACAGATAACACAGTTGAGATTCCCATTAGTGTCACGGACAAAAATAACAATTCACCTTCATTGAAAATGCTCAGTCGGTTTTGGTTTTCACGTAACATGCTCCTCCAAATGATTCCGGTGCCTTCTAAAAATCCTTCTATATTGCGTAAAAACTACATTTCCCAGTCCCCGGTACAGCAAACTATTCTTCTATCCAGTGTTTGTAAGGTGTTTGTCTTCCTCCTCCTCCAGTTGCAAACAGCAGAGTCCCTCCATTCAGGAAAATGCAATTGAAAAAAAAAAATAATATCACAAATTTGAGCTTCCCATTCTTTTCCGTGGCGCGGCGGCTGTAGCTTGAGTCCGTTTCAGACCCGTTGATCGGAAATAGAGACACATGGAGACCACACAATACTATCGACACTTTGGTTTGGGCTACAGCTGCATGTGGTGTGGAGAGATATGGCTTCATGTGCCTCTAGAACACCATCGATCACACAACCAGCGATCACACAACCAGCGGGGGCCATGAGGATCCGTTGCTTTCAGTCTAAGAATTTCAAAGGTTGTAAAAAGAAGTCCAGGAGGCTACTGTCCCGCGCTGCTCGGGTCGCACTGCAGCAGCCGCACGATGGACGGGTCGTTCTTGGCGCCTTCAACGAACTCCTCCAGCGACAATTTACCTGCGGCAGAAAAAATACGGAGTCAACACGGACGCTTTTGCTTTTACCCAGAAGAAGCCAGAGACAACGCCAAGAGGCTGCAGAGGTGTGGTAATGTGGAGCTAAATGTAAATTGTATATTTTATGGTAAATTGGGCCTGGGTGATGTGTCAGAACCTGTCAATGCACTGCAAAAAGTGATGGAAAATAAGTCAAAAATGGCTCAAATTTGGAAAAAGATTGTCTTAATTTAAGCACATTTTGACTGAGCCTTAAAACAAGACTTGTCAATTGGACAAAGCAAAATTACCTTGTTTTAAAAAGATACAGGAAATGTCTCCCTTGGAATGAGACAAAAAGCAACGGTTCTTGAAATAATTAAGAATGAACTCAAATTAAGATAAAAACCACTCGATTCAAGCAATATCTACCTCAGAATTTATCATTTTTTATAGTGTGTGATACAATACATACATGTCCTTTCTAAATGATTCAATGTGATTTTGTATGAAAAATTAAGACTTTTGGTCCCATTTGAATAAAAATACATTATTGGTGAATTCCTTAAAGATTGATTGTTGAAAAATCTTCAGTCTTATGCTTCTGTTTTCAATATGACGATATAAAAAATAATCTGGATTTTTTTTCTTTTACGATCCATGTAAAAAATACAAATATTCATATAGAAATGTCTAATCTTGTTTCTAGCACAGCCCCCATTACTTATCTCACAACATGTATCTAAGCTGTATAGGGAACTCACAGTTTTATAGTGTAATGATGTCACATACACGGACATTGGCTGCGTTTTAAAATAATCTTTAACACTTTAGATTAGCCCTCACTAATCAACAGCTAATGAAGTAATACAAACAATAATACATTTGATTTCTTAGGCGCCTTTCTAGATACTTGAGGTCGCCTAAAACCTAAGTTAAGTGCTATTATGAGTACCCTAATCCTAACCCACATGGGAAACTGTCAATTAGTAGTTAGTTAGATGTAGAATAAGGACTAATAAGGGATTAACAAATACCAATAAGGAGCATATTAACCATGAATTATAGACATAGCTGTTAATTAAACTTAAACTAAAGTGCGACCGATATTTTTTAGTTCTGACAGTGTTTTTCACATTAACCGTCGACATGCCTTGGAGTTTTTTGTGTTTCCATTTCCCAAAGATCACCTGGCTGGATTCAATCTCACATTTTTACATCCAGTTTGCGCTCCCTATCCTTCTGATAGGGAGCTGGTTTTATTGTTTGTAGCAATAACATGTTTTATACAACAGGCCTTTCTACTCGGCAAAAGCTGGACATTTGTATTGACTTATGACATCGTTATGGACGTTACATCTCCATGGCAACGCTATGACGCTGCTGTGTTTTGCAGATAAGTCCCAGCTTCGTACCGTCTCTATTTGTGTCCATCTGTCTGAAGATCTTGTCTGTGCGTTTCTCTGGTGTGGACTCGTCCTCGGGCATTTTCATCACAGAAGACACCATTTTGTAGATTGCCTGCGAAGACAAAAGAGGACATTACTATCAAGTGCAGTTCAAGTAACGAGTCTGGGAAAAGTGGGGAACAATTTTTGAACTCAGAACCAAACTAAAATGTCTTTCAATCAGTTTTCACATGTATTTTTGGCCTCTGTCAAATCCTTGGATCGGCTTTTTTCACACCAAAAGACCACCCTCTCTCTCAGCCAATCAGCTTTCAGCCCAAAGCATCTTTCTACCAAGTACGCAAAAAAATAACATGTTTTTTTAAAGTGAGATTTTTTTCACAAAATGTTACTTCTACAAGAGTCTGTTGTGACAAGGTGTAAAAAAGTTAGGTACCGCAGCTTTAGCAATGTATCTGTAATAAGGAAGCTATAGATTGTGAATAGAGTATTGTATTTATGAATTTATCATTTTATCTTTTGATTAATTACTCCTTCTGTTTACAAATCTTGAACTTTTAAAAATTATTATTATTATCTTTTTGAGTTTCTCTGCCCGTCACCAGGGAAAAGGGGATGTGAGGAACAAAAAGGGGACAAAAAGTAAAGTGTGATGCCAACCAGTGCAAAAAAGTAAATACAATGTAACACTTGAATAAAAAATGTATGTAAAGGTAAAAAAAAGGAAAAAAATCTTGCGTCTTCACGATTTTGCTGAAATGTGACGATAGCCGCTTTTGACATGTGCCACACTATAAATGGCAGCACGAACTGAAAATGGGATTAGCGTTTCCTTGCCCTGGCTTCACTTTAGCACCTTGATGTGTGATGTAACGACATGTGTAGAGGATTTCTGTCCAGTGTGAGCGGCGGCGACCAATCAGGAGCGAGGAGCGACAGGTGCGCTCGGCTGACGGGGGCTCCGATAGTGCGGCGGCGAGAAATATCGAAATCGAAATCCCAATTTGAACGGTCGCAAAGACTACAATTATTGAAATAATTTACAAACTAACTACTTTGGCAACAGTGAGGACTAAGAAAGATTTGCTATACAGAAAACTACTATTTCCATCATTTATTACCACAAATAATCCAGTACTTTTCTGCCAACCCTGAATTTTACACAAATCCGTAATTGATTTGAAAAAAAATGTGTTGATAAATAATGCATTTTGTTCAAGGGTTTGACCAGATATCTGAGCTCAGCGTAGGACGTTTTAAAAAGAGGAGTGACTTCTTCTGTGATATTTTTGTGTTTCATTTTTCATTATTTCTTCAGGGTATTATTAGCCTGAGCAGGTGTGTGTGGACAGGGAAGTCTGGGCGTTCCTGCGTAGACTACTGCCCCCCGCAACCCGGGAACGGATGAAGTGGAAGAAAATAGATGGATGGGTATTAGAATACACCCTTTTTTCTGTCTAACTTTGCAAAATGTAGAAAAGATGAAGGTGGTTGGACACTTTCGGAATGCACTGTTAACTGAAATGTTTGAATAATTAGCCAAACCTTATCCTACTCAGACTGATTTCCTAACGTCAACAATTGGTAAACTTGATGATTTCGAGGAGAACCCGTTTCAGACTTTTGCAGATGTATTCCAATGTGGTTTTACGGCAAATGGCAAATAAAATGAATCTGAAGCATGTTTTTTAAAGCGTTCAGCCTTCAGAATATTATATACATACAAATATAATATATACAGTATAAATACACACTCACAGTTACTATCTCCAGCATCTCGGCCTTGCTGATGTAGCCGTTCCCGTCCAGGTCGTACATGCTGAAAGCCCATTTGAGTTTCTGGTCGAGTCGGCCGCGGGACGTGACGCTCAGAGCGATGATGAACTCCCTGAAGTCGATGGTCCCGTCTCCGTTGGCGTCAAAGGTGCGGAACACGTGCTCGGCGAACTTGGACGCGTCGCCGTAGGGGAAGAAGTTGGCGTAGATCTTCTTGAACTCCTCCAGCGTGAGGGAGCCGCTGGGACAGTCCCGCAGGAAGCCCTTGTACCACTCGGTGATCTCGTGCTCCGTGAAGTCCGTGTTCTCCATCAGGTCCTGCATCACGTCAGGTCGCAGTTTGCTGTTCTGTTTGCCCATGGCTGCTGTGGAGGAGGAGGTCGGTGCGATTTAGACAGCTGCAGAAAAACAAAAGAAGAGATTATTCAAGCAGACGTAACATGGCTCTGTCCAGGGCTGAGGAAAACATTATTTTATTCTCTGATATTGACTGATTTTATTTCAAAACAAAATGGAATCACTGGTATGACGAATACAATGTTTCTAATGGTTGAACCTTCAAACTCAGAATCAGAATCTGAATCCTTTTTATTGCCATGTGAGTAACAGGAAGTCACAAACTAGGAAATTGCTTTGGCTCTCGGTGCAAACAAGTTAAAGCAGAATAAAAACAAGAAGGCATGCAATAATAAAAAACTCTACATAACACTTAAACAATCAGAGAGAAAGGCGAGGACACACGAGTGAGGAGAGGCACAAGAACATTAGAGAAGGAACGATTTTTATTGGAACCAATACAGATTGTTTAAAAATTAAATTAAGGTAGATCGCCAAAACACTCCTCTTCACCCCCAAACACTGATGCTTAATCAAAATAAAGTTCAGTAGGATGATTTCCTTTCAAGTAAAATGGCTGCATAACGCTGCAAACAGTGTGACTATGGTCAGATGCACCAGGAGTGAGCAATGGCCAAGTAAAAATAAAATACTCCAACATTGTGACATAAAACCGTGTTGAAGCTGTGAGCAGCTACTCATCCCGACCAAACAATCAAGTCCATTTTCTCTTATCTACCACAGCTGTCTTTGCTCCGGCGTCTGCATCACTCCCACTTACACCCAATCATCATCACCTTCTGCCATTTTCTACAGAGAGTGATGCTTCCAAGTTGCAGAACTAAAGAAAACTATGATCTTTATAAACCATCAACAGCTTTCATTACTATAGCTTCTTTTATTACAGAACTATCTTGTGAAAAGATCATTTAAACTACTCCAAACTCCTGCGTTTCAATGTTGTCAGATTGTTGCTTGTTTCAAAACAAAAACAACAAACATTTAAAAGATTTCAGGAGAAAATGTTGATCCCTAAAATGTTTCTATTGAAAGAAAAGAGTATGTTGTGAAAATCATCTCTACAGTAAACCCTGTTTGTGTACATCTACACGACACACAAAAAGGACAACATCAAAGATATAAGTTAAACACACAAAGGACTGGGACGAGGCCGGTCATTAAAATGAATATTCAAATGCTATTCAAAATTGAAGTATTAAAATTAGATTTGAATGATTTGAATGAGAGTATTTATATTGAAAGAAAAGAATAGAACACAATTGGATCTTCTCCAATAGTTTTCATAGTTCATGATTTACAGCAGTGTAGTCCTTTTGTTCAGGAGTGAACTTTCAAAAGTCATCTGGACCAAGTCATCAGCTTCACATCGGATCCAAGCAGAAAGCAACTCAGACGGAGGTAGAAGCGGCTCAAAGCTGAAATTTTGGTTCAGATGACTTCTCACTTGCTTAGCAAAACGTACAGTTAGTTTGTACTGAATTTAAGTTTTAAATATTATCATGGCAAACAAGGCCAAATAATGAGCTGTTTTAAAAAATATATTGAGTTTAATTCATATACGGACTCTGATCTAAATGATTTAATTTCATATGTCTTACTGTCTTTTAGCAGAAATAATATTTTTTGCTTCGGCTACAAAAAGCTTCTCAAAATGTCTGTAGAAAGCTGCATGCTCGCACTGTGTTCATTAATCGCTGTGTTGTGCTCATAAAGTCCCTCTTCACCTTGCTCTAATGTCCTCCATTTAGTCTTTCCATTAGCTTTTACAGACCATTACGAAGCCACAGCCATTTGATGCATCTGAATGATTCCCACACAGGTCTCTGGGGGATAATTTATGCAGTCGTCAGTGTTAACACCAAGGTTCTACCTCCACAGGGCTTTTGCATGTAACCTCTTCATCCTGTGTAAAAACCAGCACAATGCAAATATACACATGGTCTGGAGAGGGAGAGCTTTTCAGTCATCACAAAAACACTGCATTTCAATTCATACTAACGTGAATACCCAGTCAGGCTTAAAAAGAATGGAACTTGGGTTATTAAAAGCAGCATCTTTTATGAGGATAGAAATATTTGCATATGTGATTAAAGTTTGATCAAAATAGGTATAGGTAGGATTTCTTCATCTAAAAATACAGTATAAACACAATATTTTAAAGTATAAAAAGTCTTCTCAAAGTGGCATAAAAAATCTGCTAAAACAAGACATTTTGATGAGAAGTGGGTTGCTCAGGTAATTTTTATACAAACATGATATTGTCCAGTCAAACCAGACGCAAAAACCCAGATTATGAGGGTAAAAACATGTGTGTGGTGTGGACTTCAGGATTCAAAAACTTAGGACTTCATTAATAAAAAAAATAATTGTGTTCAGCAGTATATTTTCCAGGAACTACTTCTTGAAATGTCGACAGAGTAACCGTGAGAGGCAGAAGTGCTCCCAGAGAAAGTAATTCAAAACCACACTGCAACATAATGGGAACAGGAATCATGTCTCCTGCTCCTCTTCCTCAGAATCCTACTGTGCATCTCTTAAAACAGCCGGAACACTCAGGTAAATCCTTTGTTTATTTGCCACAGAATCGTAAACAAGACATTTTTAAAGGAATAGTTTGAGATATAAGTATATCAAAAAGCCAATCGACAATTATTATAAATGATTACTATAATAATTGCTGTAAAAGTGAGAAATATAGAAACTTATGTCATTTAAAAAAGAATGTGTTTTTACCCCAGGAGTAGTGTTTTCATACCAGAAAGCAAACTCGATATCAATTTAGATACAACAGCATGTATTCATGAATGATCTTTCTGGACAATACCCAGAACCTTGAGATGCGTTTGAATATGAAAAGGTGCGTTAATAACAATGCATTTTATTTATATTATCATCATCATCATTATCATTATTACTCAAAATAATAAACTAAAAACAGTGTTATGGAGCCATTAGGTATAAGTTATTCTGGTATAGTTTAAAATGCATGTCCATCTTTCTCTTCCTTATGTGATTATTTTTAGTATTCTAAAAATACTTTCTCATATTAGTATCTAGTAAAGTAAACTCACTCACATAATAAAGAAGTTTGGCTCCAAGGATCAGTGCAATAACAGCCACTATAACGAACCTCTGCAGACACTGAACTATACCCTCCTCACGCCGTCTTATAAGGTTAACAATAATACGGTTTCTTGCAGCAGCTTTTATTAATGTTTTTATTAAAGTGTTGTTTAAGCAAAATCAGCTCAATTTGCTATTTGCAATCTACAGCGACGGTTAAGGCACTGTGTATCCATCTTGAGACTTGCATAAATGATTGATTATGGTCTCAATTTGACAATCAGCAAGAGAATAAGGCCCTCCATCAAAGTGTCAAAACAGCAACAGATTCAACACTTTTGTGCCGTTTGCAGCAAAACTCCTATAGGTTACTCCATTGAACATATGCCTTATAATAACAAAGTGTTAAAACAAACGTTACATTTCCTCCCCTCAAAAGAAAGCAAGAAAAGAATGGGCCGAAAGGATAATGACAAAAAAGAAAAACAAGTATTATCAGTAAATTAATCAGGTAAACAGCTTCCTTTGTGTTTTCTCGGGGGTCGCCAACAATGTACAAGTCCAGAGTCATAGTTTATCATCAGCTCCATAAACCATTTCACTTTCTGTCCCTGGGAATGTTTCACTGAATTAAAACAGCTACACCATCTCTGCTGCTCTGACCTAAAGTGCTGCTGCATCTTAATACTACTGTTTTTTTACTTTTAGAATGATCTATTATCATATTTTTGTTCAGGCTCAAGATGAGTCAGTCCCAGCAGGTCTATAGATGGTATGGTTATATAATTATCTATTATTTGTTTTGTTTGTATGGATGGATGGGTTTCTGCTGCCACTGGACACACCTGAATTTCTCCTACAGGGATCAATAAAGTATCCATCTATACTCATTTTTGTTTTAATTCAACACAATCTTCTGACCCTGGAAATGCCAGACCTGAATTAGTGAGTAATTGAATAATCATTGTTTTGAATCATACACAGACAAAAACCTGCTTACAAGAGCTAGAATTACTGCTGAATGGAATAGGAAAGTATAAAATGCAGTATAAAACAACAAAATAAAATGCATAAGTGAATAGTTTCCTACTGGATTAAATGTAAGTTTGTTTTCATGGCTTTGTAAACAATTCAAAAACTGTCCTAAAATGTAAACAGGTCAGTGTTTTTCTCAGCGTGACTCAACGGTGATAATTTGGTCACAAGTCCTGATTCGATCTTCACATTTTGTCCAATGGAGAGACACGTATTCTCTGTGGTTAAGCCTCTCGCTGCACGTTTGAGAACGCACAAGATGTGACAAATCGGCTAATTATACTAAACAGAAAATTGACTCCTCGAACACATCTTGTTGTTGCGTTTTTAATTAAGCGGCGACCACAACAGGTCTCGGCCAAAGACAAGGACAAAAGCATCTTTAATGTTTAATTATCGTGCTTAATAAAATCACAGCGTGTCAGCTGTAATGAATTCAATGGCCTTACGTGCAAATCTATTTCAGCTCGCACATTGAGAAGCCCTACAAATTATATTCACATTGTGCTGATGGTCAAAAGAAATAATCTTATTTTGTGCTGAGAGATTTCCATTATTACACACAATTATTGCCTATTTTTCTGTAAGCAATGTAGATTCTTCATGGCGTGGTAATTAAAAAGTTTCACACCAGTTTAGCCAGGTCCACTAGATCTAGACATAGACAGAACCAAATAAGTTAAACAAGCACTGATTAAATATGGTAAAATTACGTCTATATTAGTTATTTAAAAAGTATAATGTTCTGTGGATGGAAAAGCCTTCACACACAGGACTAAAGCCTAAAATACAACGACCCAATTATTAACTTCTAAATTTGTTCTCAGTGAAATTGACGGGACTAGAGCGACTCCTTCGTCCTGGGGATAAACCTAAAGAGCTTGCTGCACTATTTGTAAACCCTG